ATGACACCACAGCTTTTCGCAAGCGGCTCTGCAAACCACACGAGGAGTTTAGGGTTTTTAGGGATTCAGTCCGAGGGCTTGTTCAGGGTTTAGAGATTCAGGTTTATAGGGTTTGGGGGGCATACTGCGAAGCCGGCGGACCGGGGGCAAGCAAAATCTATCTGAAGATGATGGCAAGAAGCTGTCGGGGCAGGCGGTCACGTTGCCGTCGGTCCCATTGCCGGTTTCGTTGCTGCCTGCGGCTGGCGTCGGACGCTCCGAGACGCTTTGGAGCTGATCGTCTAAACCAGAAGCGGCCTAATCTTTCCTGGTATCGGGGCCCAAAGTTGCTCCATAGAACAGAACCTGACTGTAAAGCACCAAATAAAGGACCCCCCCTTAAGTAAAAACCTGCACATCTCAACTCAGCCCTACATCAAAAACCCCAAACCCAAAAATCAACAAAAACCGGTGCCGGCCGAGCCTTGGTTTAGGGCTCAGGGAAACTCCACGAATCCATGATGAGGTGCACGGGTTTAAAATTTAGGGTTCAGGTTTATGGTTTAGATTTTTAAGGAGTTTAGGGGTTTAGGAGTTTAGGGTCGAGGGTTCAGGGTTTAGGGTAAGTAAATTCTAGGCACTCACACAGCTCATCGAGCGAGAACTTGGCACTTGGCACTCCAAGAGCTCTGATCTGCTGTGCCCGGGCTTCTCCACGTTCTCAGACCTTCCAAAGCTCAGCACACAGGTCCCGGTCCTTGGCCTCCGAGAAGGGCGAACCAACAGCCTCGCTGCCACGATCTTGGGCTCGTTCCCTCCCCCCAGTCGCCGCGTGGGTCCTTGTTGCTGTCGTCACTGCCCATCTTGGCTGAGGCGATGCAATCGATACTCTTCCGCCACGGTCCGCCTATGATGCGTCTGAAGTCTTCTAGACTTATCACAAGGGCGTCCCAAAAGGAAGCCCCCATTTTGACAAGCCCGGGTGTTGCCCCTTTATGCAAGGGGCAGGCGAAACGCTTCGGAAAACGGCAATGCAAAAGCCCTCTCTAGCCTCTGAACCCTGAATCCTAAACCCCTAAACCCACTTAGAGGCCCATGGGACTTAGTAAGTAGGTTATAAGTAGGGTTATAAGTACCCTAAATGGAGCTACCCCAACTATAACCCTACATATAACCTACTTACTAAGTCCCCTGGGCCTCCAAGCACCCAAAACTAGAATTCGCGAAGGGCAAAGTGCCCAAACCCAACATGTGCACAAACGACACCGCACATCCGAAACATCGAAACCCTATACTATACCCTAACAGCCTATCCATACCAAAACAGAAACATGGGCAAAACCTGATGATCATATAATAAAGTTAAGAAGCATATTGAGGACCCACAAAGCATAAGAAACAAACAGTACTCGTAATAAGCCACGCCGTCCCGCCGCTGAGATGGGCCCAAAGAGCGCAGCCGAATCCTGCCTGACTCATTCGAGTCGTTGTTGGAGGCAAGCCGTCGCAGGTAGTAGGGCTCACCTTGGTCGCAGGTTTAGGATATGGGAGTTTCCGAAAATAGGGGACCCTAATATGGTACCCTAAATAGTAGGATCCTTATTATAAGCCCCCCAGAATCAGGTACCCCTAATTTTCGGAAACTCCCATATGGAGTTTGGGGTTTGGGGTTTAGGGTTTTGGATTTTTGGCTGTAGGACGCACCTTGGCTTCCCCCACCCTGAAACAAAAGACTACCCTTGTTGATATAAATCCTGCATGACCTTAAGGACCCTAAACTATGGGAATTATTGCATATTCCTTATTATGGGTAATGCAGGATTTATATCATCAACCGTATACCCTTGTTGGCCCATTGTCTCATTGTAAACTGTGACCAAAGGAACGCTAAAACCCATACAGTCTCAAACGCTCTCCTAAACCCTGCAGGCCTATAACTCCCAACCCAAACCGAAAAAGGATGGTATGGTAGACAGGAACCTTTAACTTTAAGAAGCACGCTATGGCGAACTTCAACAAGTAGAATAGGCTTGGGGATATTGCACTGTAACTATATTGGGGGTATGTTGTAGTTACTATCCTTACAGTAAGAAGCCCTCAGGAACGTTACTTCTGAGAAACCGAGCGACATGCGCAAAGGCGTATCAGGGCCACCAGCAGCACGACCTTCCAGAGGCTAATTATTCGATCTGCTTCTTGGCTTCTGTAATGTAAGGTTGGTCAGGTTGCAATCTTGGTTGGACAGTCCGTTGAAAAAGTTCTAGAGAGGGTTGGTTAAAGGTTCTTTAGTTTGAAAGGGGGTTGACGAAGCTCTTTGGCTTGTATAGCGGGGTTTCAAGGGTGCTTTACGCTGTATGTGGTCTGTTATCAGGTGATCCTCAGTTTGTATAGGTTTGGAAGAGGTAAACAACAGCTGATCATCCGTGACCAGCTGACCAAGCTCCACACGAAAGAATATCAAGAAGTCACACATGCCCAACCCCTTATTTCCTTTTCCGGGGCCAGGTCTATACCGGACTCAGGTTCTATAGATTTGAGAGATGCTCGACGCTTTTGCCTTTGAGTCTTTCCAGGGCCTATGCTATACCAGGCTGTTGGGCTCGACCGTTTGGAACAGAAGGGGAGGGAAGTTAGCAAAATCCCAGAGGATGCAAAGTCTCGAAGCCTAAATCCTAAACCCCCTAAAGCCTAAATCCTAAACCCTAAACCCTAAACCCTAAAGCCTAAATCCTAAACCCTAAACCCTAAACCCTAAAGCCTAAATCCTAAACCCTGCAACCCAAAGGCCGTAAGATACCAGGCGCTAAACCTCCCCTGGCTGTCTGCGATTCATCCACAAGCCTGTAAAGAGCAACTCCTCGCCATGCGAGTCCTTGGCAAGGGGGTTTTTGGTTGAGGGACTGGCTTAATGTAGACAATCGTAGATAGTATCCCCAATAGACCCCATTTATGTCAGTATAATCTGTGAGACCGATGCCCCGTCTTCGGTAGCGGTTAGCAAGGGCTTGAGGTAGTGGCATGGCTTAGGCCAAGACTAAAGGATACTAGCGGCTGACGATTTAGGGTTCAGGGCCTAGGGCCGAGGGATCGTCGGTGGACTTGGCTTTAGGAAGATCCAAGAGATCTAGTCCGTTTTTTCTCCGAGTATAGGGACGACTTCGATGATGCAGTGTTCACTATACTCCCCCTTAGAAGCATAATAAAAGTAATATGTGTAATATTCTCTTTGGTTTTATCTAGGGTTTAGGGTTTAGGGTTTTAGGGTTTAGGATTATCTGAACAAAAACAACAAAATAATTCCTAAGGAGACTAGCGTTCATGCAATGTGCGCAAAGGGGATGGACCTCCACTGAAAGCCTCAAAATCTCCCCTGCGGCCTTGCATAGCCCCCAATGCCCTGAAACCTAGACCCTCAAACAACAAACTTTAGCCCTAAACCCTAAACCCCTAAACCACTGAACCCTAAAGCCCTATATAAACCCTAAACCCTAAACCTTAAACCCTACAAACCCCCTAAACTCCGAAATCCTTGTATCGGGCCATACCCTGAATCCTTATAAATCCTCTATGCCTAAGCCCTCGCACCCTTGCAGCCCCTCCACCCCAGCCCCCTGCATTTCGAGGGCTCCTTGTTGCGATGTCCTTACTTTCAGCAACAGGTATGCAAATATTTCTGTATGTATATATGTATATGTATGTATGTAATATATGTATATTCATCAAAACTTAGATCTGTTGGGCCACAGGCAAACCCGACTCCCCCAACCCTAAACCCAAATATTGCCTTAAATCCTAAAGTCCTACAGTTAAATACCCTGGACCCTGGACTGTTTAGCCCATGGACTATACCACTGTTGGTTTAGGGTTCCCAGAGACTCCTTTTATAGGGCTCCTTTAAGGGATCTTTAGGGTTCCTTTAATTAAGGGATCTAGAGGGTTTATAGGGTTTAGGGTTCCCAGAGACTTGTCAAGCGGCTTGGAAACCTCCTGGGACCATGGGACGGGCCCAAAAGTGCCCCCCTGGCCTTTTCCACCCCCGCTGCTGAGAGGGCTGCGTGGCAAGTGTGGCGTGTTGACGGCGTTAACCCGAAACCCCAAACCCCAGGTTTTTTGCAGTGTTGGCCTTTAGCAATTTTTGCTTCAGAGCTGAGTAAACAAAGCGAAGGCGGCTGCGAGGTGCCCGGAGAGTGAGATCGAGGGACACGCCGAACCCGCGAATTCTGATATGATGACCCTCCTGAATTGTCAAAAATGACCAACAAATCTGATTCTTCCGAATCCCTACGACAAACATTAACGCCCCGATATACCTTGCTCTACTTGTTTACGTAAGCCTCTGTGTTGGCTTTGGGCTGCTGCCAGAACTCGATGTCAACAGCTTCAAACATCCTGCACAAGCCGGCTTCTATCTTAAACCAAAAGGGGGGTTCAGCAGTTCATCCCAAACCGGTACCTCGATTGAGCTTCATCACTGTGCGATGCACCGTGAAGGTTCCCTCTGTATCAAGCTCCGAATACCCCAACTATAGCAACAACGACCAGATGGATGCTAATACAGGGGCCTTAATAATTAGAATACGGTTTTGGGGTATATTGTACTGTAGTTATCACAAGGAACCCCCAAAATGCTATAGGCAATTAATTTAGGCTCCTATATTATAGCAGCATGAGCCAGCATGAAGCCAGGAGGATCTTTTGCTTCTTCGATGTACCAGCGGCGCTTTATGCGTGTCGCGTTCATTGTCAAAGGCAGGTCTTGACGATTCGGTCCTGAACAGGTTTAGGGGGCTTTCGGGTTTAGGGCTTCTGAACACGCAGCCACCTAATCACCGACTTGCCTACAGACTAAAGGGATTTCGATGTTCAGGCCGTTAGGTCATGTTTCTGGTTGAGGAACGGGGTTTAGGTTCCGTCTTAGATGCCGTTCGGAAGTGATTCAACACACACCTCAACAATCCAATTCGCAAGCTGTATGTATGGTAATCAAAATAAGCCCAGGAAACCGAGACAACCGTGTGCATTCATGTCAAGCTGTGCAACCAACTCCGTCCATTCGCGCAGAGGCCATCCCCTCTGCACTTCAGCAGTGTCTCCGGAGCACTTCCAGGACGGCTCGGAAGCGAATCTGCTTTCGAGCGTGGCAAAAAAATGCTCGCAACTGCTTCAGCAAGCCGTTCGAACTGCACTGCGACTGTCTTCATCAACGACAGGTAGGCAGCGACCCGCTCCCACATTATCTGCCGGCCGAAACTTCTAGCAAAGGACACGAGACTGCACGTACTAGAAGGGCTACAGTCCATTGGAAATGCTACAAGGTAAAACATGGCTGACTTGATGTAAGAGCATGAAGACGCAGGCTCGCAAGAATGTCGAAAAAGGTTGAAAGACCTCGTAAAAACCTACACCGGTGAAGCCCTCAAAGACAAACTACAACAATTACGAAATTGGAGCCATTGCAAAGACTGGATAAAGAAAACTTCACGAAGACCGTCAAGAAGCAATAACACGTCTAACACCTTTATAAAATCATTGAGCACACCCCTAAATTCGATCAGGTACGGCATTAAGCTCGAAATATGCCCAAGAGTTCAACTTCCTACCCTCAACCCGAAACCCTACCTACAGCCTAAACCCTACTACCTAAACCCGCAATCCTAAACTCCCTAAATCCTTAACCTTCAAACCTGAGCCCTGAACCCTTGGGCCCTAAACCCCAAACCTGAATCCCAAGCCCCGAACCCAAATCCTAGACCCCAAACCCCGAACCTAAGACCCCACACCCTACACCTTGCCAACTGCCAGGTTCAACTCCTCGCTCTGACCCTGTCCAGAAAGAACATTCATTGACAGAGCCAGAAGACGCAGTCAGCACCGCCCTTCCAGGCTACCTCGGTCCTCCCCACGTAGAAGCTGATCTCGCCCAGATGTTTTCGAGGTCGTAAACCGAAGGCGGAACGAAATGTCGGAGACAGCTTTAGAGCACTTGCCGGTGGCCACAGCAGAAGTCGCAACACAACATCTGATGATGCAAATACCCACAGGCCATTCCATGTCTGTGCCTGGTGCCCCTCCTGGACTCCGCGCGAGAACCTGGAGTGCTTTATCTGAAACCCTGAAACCCGCAAACCCCTGCGCCTCCCCCTGTGCCTGCGTTTTCTTCGATCCCGAGGACATTTCCTGGGGGGCTCTCGTGGTTCAGAGCTTCGCGTGGGCGGGGTCCTACTGAATGACTTAGAAGCTGCCCCCACCCTGTATTAGTGACTATAAGGATTATATTAGGGCCCTATTATATTCCTACTATACCACTATTACAGGGTGGGGGGGCCCCTTCTAATGAATGACTGCATAATCTAGGGGCCATACAGTCGTTAGAATAGGGATTTGGGGCCCATTTTTCGATGAATACAATAAGGAACTCCGAAAATAGCAGAGGTAATTATTAATATTATGATTATTATTATTACTATTATTAGTATTATTCTTCTTATTATTATTGTTATTAATATTAAGGTCCTTTACAACGATGCATGAAAAGCATTCCAGGCTTTGCCTCAATCGAGACCCAAAACCCAAAACCCTAAACCTAACCCCTAAACCGCAACACCATGGGCTCCCGAAGCCAAGTTGTGTACGCATGTCATGAGCAGTGCCAGCATCTAGGGTTCAGGGTTTAGGGTTTAAGGTTTAAAGGTCTAGGTTTAAGGTTTAAGGTTGATTAAGGGTTTAGGGTTGAGTACCTAAGCCCCGATAGCCTAAAGGTTCATAACGTGGTGCCTTTGAAGATCTCAGCTCGTTCTAAAGCCCGACAACAACCCACAACCCCTTCCCACCCCCACTTCAAGCAACACGAGAAAAATACGGAAAACGAAAGCAAGCGATCATATTCATAGAAGCAAGGACGACAAGAGCATAGAAGGAGCCCCCACCCTGTAATAGTGACTATAAGGATTATATTAGGGCCTTATCTTATTCCGGTGGGGGCCCCTTCTAAACAAGAGCATACAAGCCCAGAGCCCTCAAGCCGTAAACACTGAACCAAAACTCTGACTCTGAACTTCAAACCCCACAACCCCTAACCCCCGTAAACCCCTAGACTTAGACCCCCCAAGCCCTAAAGCCTAAGCCCCAAAACTTAAACCCCTAAACCCCTAAACCCCCCAAAACCCCTAAACCCCTACCCCCCCAAAACGCAAAGCAAAACTCGGGGCTCCTTGAGTTGAGAGCTCCAGCTACGCCGCTTCGGCCTCGCGAGGGTGGGTATTGGGAAGGAGTCTCAGGGATTGTGGTTGAAGGAGCGGGGAAACCCCAAACCCCCCAAAAACCTAAAGCCTTAAACCCTAGACCCTTACACCCTGAACCTCTGAACCCCTAAACCCGTAAACCACGAAACCCCTAAACCCCAAACCCCCCCCCCAAACGCTAAACCCCTAAAACCATGCCTAGGGGTTCAGGGCTCCAGGCTGTGGGTGCAAGGTTCGGGGTTTGAGGTTTAGGGTTTAGGGTCTTTTGAGGTTGGAGCTTCCAGGCTGAGCATTCAGCATCTAAGGACTCATATATCAAGGCTTTTGGGCCCAAAAGATCATACTATATTAGGCTTTTGGGCTACTTTGATCCCTAGGGGTCGCGTATTCAAGGCTTATAAAAGGGTTCGTCCCTTGGGTTCTTAAGGCTCCCTCTGTGGGTTTGGGGTTTAGGTTTGGGGGCCTAAGTTCCAACTTAGGTCTAGGGTTGGGGGTTGAGGTGTCTCTGGGGTTCTACTGTAGGGGCCTTAATAATTAAGAATTAGAATAGGGTTTGGGGTAGGGGCCTTAATAATTAATAAGGGGTTCTACTGTAGGGGCCTTAATAATTAAGAATTAGAATAGGGTTTGGGGTAGGGGCCTTAATAGTTAATAATTAGAGTTGGGTTTGCGGGGTGTGCTAGACGATAACTATAATAAGGAACTATGAGTACATTGCGGCATGTCTACGTGGCCTCCAGAGGGTGCTGCGGGGGTCGAGGAATTCGGGCTCAGATGTTAGGCGGTGGGCCGCCCAGAAATTGAGAGAACTGCAGGGTCAAGGGTTTAGGGTTTAAAGCTTCGGGTTGAGGCTTAAGGGTTAAGGTTTAAGGGTTTAAGGTTAAGGGAGGCTTTAGTCGAGCCCCAAAAAGAAACAATGTAAACGAACAGTAGGGTCGGCATCTCATGCATAAGCAGAAGAAGGCTCAAGCCCAGCAAGGTAGAAAAATCCTGCCAAAAGAGTCTACCTATGTCCGTTTTCTGGCCCCCTTTTTTGGTGGAATTGGGTTTTTGGCTGCCCAGGTTTCTGGGTTTTAGGCTTTACGACTTCGGGTTTCGGGTGTGGGATACTTCAGGGGTGTGGTGAGATTCCCTAGGAAGAAATGCCAGGAGAATTGATGCTTCACCTGAAAATCCAAACCTGAGTTTCAAGACTCAATGATACGTCCTGAAGTCTCTGAATCCAGACCTCCTCCCAAACCCTCACACCCTATACTGCCCCAAACCTTTCTTTCCCAGGAGGCCCAATGCGCTCGAACTAGGGAAAACTCCGTTTTTCACGATGGGAAGCCCTATGGGTGGTTGTCAAAATGAGGGTCCCTTTTTGGGTCCTTAATATAGTACGGCACCTACTGTTTAGGGTACCCAAAAAGGGACCCTAATTTTGACAACCACCCCTATCTCTGGGATGGAAGAAATACTACGAAAAAACACATTGCGCCCTAAGTTCACGAGGGTCTCCGGGGGAGACCCTGGGTCCCGCACACCCCAAGTTGAGGGCTTCAGGCGCTTAGGGCTTTATTTGGGCTCCTGTTGCAATGTCTGCCATAGGGTTTAGGGGTTTCCGGTGTAGGGTCGAAGGCTTCGCGGTTTAGAGCTTCAAGTGCTTAGGACTTCCAGAATTTAGAATGGTTTTTAAAATTTAGGGTTCGGAAGACCCCAAGGCCCTCCCCCCACAGAGCCGCGCTTTAGGATCCTCTCCCTTTGGCTCGTCGTGGTCCTTGGGGTCCTGCAGCCCAGAGGCTTCAGGAGCAGGCGGCTTACGTTTTTGCGGCTTCAGGCTCGGGGTTTTGGGTTCAAGATATAAGGGTATCGGGTTTAGGGGTTTGCTTAGGGTTTTAGGGTTTAGGCTTAAGGATTTTGAGTCTTAAGGGTTTGGAGGTGGGAGGGGGGTCCGCACCTTGTGCATGTGCAATCAGCGCACGGATTCGGGGTCCGCTTCGAGGGGGTCTTTTGATTGAGTATCCGAGATTTGGAGGTTTAGACTGGGGCCTCTGATTCTCTGAAACCACCACTCAGGATTTAGGGATTTAGGGTTTCTTGTTTTCGCCAAGCCGCATGGGAAGGTGGGGGTTGAGGGATCCGCAATCCTGGTTTCTGGCCTTGGGGGCCAGGGTTTAGGGCTTAGGGATTGGGTTGAGGGTTTAGGGTTGAAGGGTTGGGGTTTAGGGTTGAGGGTTGAGGGTTTAGCATTCCAAATTGGGTCATGAACGACGGAACTCGCAGACGCACCCTCCTTGCCCAACTCTTCCTCCAGACCCTCCACCCCCCCCCCGGAAACCCAAAACCCGTTAAACCCTAAACCCTAAACCCCTAAACCCTAAACCGACCCTATTAGAAGCCTACAACAGAAGCCCCGAACCAACCCCCACCTCGACGCTCGAACTAGAAACGCCATGTGTTTCCCCTGCCCTGCCGCTCCAGTTCGCCCCAACCATCCCCAAATCTTACGTTACACCCTAAACCCTAAACCCTAAATCCTAAATCCTAAACCCTAAACCCTAAACCCTAAATCCGAAATCCCGAACCCTAAACCCTAAACCCTGAAGCCGAGACCGCCCCAAACACGAACAAACGTCGCCCCCGCCCCCGCACTGCCCATGAACACGTGTGGTGGCCTCATCGGCCTGGGCCGATCGTCGAGGCTTATGCGGGTACTGTAGGGGCCTTAACACTTTGAATAGGGTTCCCTTTAAAGGGGTCTATAAGGATTGCTATAATATAAGGGCTATTATGGGGGGGGGTTAATGTAGGGGCCTTAATAATCAGAATAGGGTTTTTGGGGCATATTCTACTCTAAGCAGAATAAGGAACCCTAAGAATACTGCTTGTAATTATTTAGGCCCCTATATTATTAGAGTTGAGGGTTCAGAGTTGAAGGTTTGGACATTCATGCTTCGCTTTGAGATTTCGAGTTTGAGGCTTTCGAAGCTAACCAGTGCTTTTGGGGTTCTCATCATCCCTGGCTCCTTAGCTCCTCCAATATCAAAGGTTAGGGCAATTCCGGGTTTAGGGCCGAGGCTTCACCGGGATTCGCGGTTTTA